CCAAGGTTAAGTCTTTACAGAAGCACACTGCCACATCTTTCTCCTGTTGCCGTTGCTAAGTGGCATCGAGTCGGTTCTGACTCATAACAACCCTGTATAGGGTTTCCTAGAAGCTGCTGATAAGTTTGAACTGCTGACCTTGCAGTTCAAACCGACCTCATGTGGAATGACTGGTGGGTTTGAATCACTGACTTTTCAGCTGCCAGTCCAGTGCTTAAACTGTGCCACCAGGATGCCTAGGCTCATTGTTGTTAGGTGCCGTCGAGTCAGCCGCGACTCACAGTGACCTGATGCATAATAGAACGAAACACTGCCTGGTCCTGCCCTATCTTCCCAGTTATGTTTGAGCCCATTGTTGCTGCCACCATGCCATTCCATCTTGTTGGGGGTCTTCCTCTTTTTCACAAACCCTCCACTTTGCCAGACATGACATCCTTTCTCCAGGGACCCTCCTGTCCCTCTCATCTTGTCAGTTTGTCATGCTGTTGTGGCTTACATGTTGCTGTGATGTTGGAAGCTATGCCACTGGTGTTTCAAATACCAGCAGGGTGACCCAGGGGGGCCAGGTTTCAGCGGAGCTTCCAGACTAAGACAGACGAGGAAGAAGGAATCTGTGGTCCAGTTCTGAGTGATTGTTGTTGTTAAGAACATCGAGTTGGTTCCAACTCATAGTGACCCTGTATAGGGTTTCTGAGGAGCAGCTAGTGGGTTTGAACTGCCAACCTTATGGTTGAAGTCCATTGCTGAAAACCTTTTGAATAACATCAAAATATTGTCTTAGGTCAACAGTTGATTAAATAATTTGCATCACTCAGGAAAGCCCTGCCAAGTAGGTAGTATTATTTTATCTATTTTACAGCTAGGAAAACAGACCTGGAGAGATTCAGTCATTTATCTAAAGCCAACCAGCTGCCCAAGGGTGGAGCTGGGATTCCAGCATGAAGACTTTCCATTCTCATAACAGAGACTGTTAAAATAAACGCATGGTGGTCATCAAAGCCCCACCCAGAAGTCCCATAAAAAATGACCATGTTCCAGGAACTGGACATTGCTATTTATCTTCTAAGCCAGCACAAGGTGTAGCAGTAGGGACACAAACTGTCCACTTCAAATGGATACTAGTCTTGGCATTTGTTCATTGGATTTTAAGCATGAGGGAGCTGACATTGTTTCCATCCCTTCCTCTTTAGTTTTCTAACAAAATGTGAGGTGCTCTGTTGTTTAACTCATGTACTTTCAAAATCAGATAACTCAAACTAGAAAATGTCATGTAAATGAGTCTGGAGGGCAGATTGTCCTTAACCGTGGCCGTGGACTAAACGTTTGGCTGTTAGCCACAAGGCCAGCAGTTCAAAGCCTCTCTCCTTGAGAAAAAGATGAGGCAATCTGATCCCATAAAGAGAGACGGTCTCAGAAACCCTGTATAGAGTCATTATGAGTCAGAATTCACTTCATGGCACTGGTTTTGGTTGGGGTACTAGCTGAAAGGTTGACCCCTTGAACCTACCCAGCAATACCTAAAAAAAAACCCCAAAAAAACCCCCAGACTTAGTGATCTATTTCCATAAAGATCACAACCAAGAAAACATTACTGTAGTTGTTAAGTGCCATCGAGTCAGTTCTGACCCATAGCGACCCTGCATAGGGTTTCCGAGGCTGTAAATCTTGACGGGAGCAGAAAGCCTCATCTTTCTCCTGCAGAACTGCTGGTAGTTTTGAACTGCTGACCATGAGGTTAGCAGCCTGACTTGTAACCACCATGCTACCAGAGCTCCTTAGCAGCCACCTAGTGAATTCTAACTCAGAGTCCCCGTGTGTGTCAGTGTTAGAAGTGTGCGCTCCACGGAGTTCCCAACGGCTGACTTCTCAGAAACAGATCTCTAGACCTTGCGTCTGAGGTGCCTCTGGGAACCTCCAACTTCTACAATAGCAGCTGAACACATTAACAAATTTCAATGCCCAGGGAGTCCTGTCTGACATATACCAGAAACAAAACAAAATTAGCCCACTGCCCTTGGACTGAGTTCTGATGTATAGTGAGCCTGACAGAACAGAGGACAACTTCCCCATAGGGTTTCCATGGTTGGAATCTTTATGAAAGCGGGCTGCTACAACTTGGTGTGGGTTCCAGCAGCTGACTTTTAACCTCCAACAGCTGAACGCTTTAACCATTCTATTGGGTATCACCACTGCCGTTGAGTGAGTTCCAAGTCCACAGGACAAAGTAGAACTGCTTCATAGGCTTTCCAGACTGTAAATGTTTGCAGGAACACAAAGCTTCAGCTGCCTCCTATGGAGAAAGTTTGTTGTTAGATGCCATCAAGTCAGTTCTGACTCATAGTGACCCTATAGCATCCTCACAACTATTATGCTTGAGACCCTTGGTGCTGCCACTGTGTCAGTCCATCTTGTTGGGGGTCTTCCTCTTTTTCTCTGACCCTCCACTTCACCAAGCATGATGTCCTTCTCCAGGGACTGGTCTCTCCTAATAATATGTCCAAAGTGTGAGAGAAGGAAGTCTCACCATCCTGCCTTCTAAGGAGCATTCTGGAGGTACTTCTTCAACACAGATCGGTTTATTCTTCTGACAGTGCATGGTAATTTCAGTACCCTTCTCCAATACCATAACTCAAAGGCACCGTTTCTTCTATGGTCTTCCTTATTCACCGCCCAACTTTCCCATGCATGTGAAAATACCATGGTGACGGGGAGGTGCATCTTAGTCCTCAAATTGACATCTTTGTTCTTGAACACTTTGAGGTTTTGTGTGGGCAGATTTGCCTGATGCAATGTCCTTTCATTTCTTTATTGCTGCTCCCATGAGTGGTTCCACAAGGTTAGTTGTTGTTGTTAGGTGCCATCGAGTCAGTACTGACCCATAGCGACTTTATGCACAGCAGAACGAAACAC